GCACAGACAAACAGACGTAACTCGTCATTCTGGATCATCGTTTGCGCATTTAACGACTGGTTTGAATGTTATCGTTTCCGCGAACTACTCGCCGCCGCGCTGGCATCGGATCACTTTGACGTTTCTATATATTCGGTTTTTTTTGCATGCAACATTGTTTGCGAATCAGCGAGCAAGCTTGTTTTCCGCGAGAAGCCCGCGAGATGTCGTTACTGCAGTCATATGTTTGTTGGTACTATGAGTTGAAGATAATTTTATTCAAAGAGTTACGTCTGTTTGTCTGTGGTAGTAGGGTGCATGGTGTGTGCTTACCAGGTGAGGAACAAGCAGTGCTCCCGTTCCACAAAAACATTAACTGGGTCTTTAGTGGATCCCAACAATGATTTCAACTGGTTATGTCTACTGGTGAAAACTAAATCTAATCCGAATTGTTTTAACTGTGGTCTTAGCTTACAAGTAAAATCTTGATCAAATGGAACGGACACTCGTTTCAATGGTTCAGGTGTTGCGGTGAGGGTTGTAAATAATCTCCTTTGTAGAATTCTCGCTTTTTTATCGATGATTGCCTGGATTGTGGTCTCCTTGTATCCGTTGAGTCTTGCTGTTTCGAAGATGTACTGTAATTCCTTAACCTTTCCTGTATCGCTGAGTGGAAGAGTCTGCATTCGATGAATCATGTGGTGAAAGGCGGCCATTTTCTGCTGGAACGAATGGTTGGAAGTATAGGGGATAACTCTTTTGGTGCTTGACGGTTTCCTGTAAATTTCGCATTCAAGCGAGGAAGATGATGACGATTCCCTGATGACTACACGGATAGAAATTTCCTTATACCTTTTGGCAAATTTCCATTGCTGATTATTCATAAAATGTATAAGTCAACTAATAAGCAGACGCCTTGCAAAAAGTTAATAAAGATCATGTGTCAAATGAAATTTATAAGCGGTCACACATACCTTTTATGCATTCTAATAGTACCTATCTGGTTTGTCTTATGGAATGTATAAGGCTGATGCTTTGGCAAAAATGTATAAGTGAAACACATGAATTAAATAATTGATTTTCGTTTCGTGTAGAAGATCGAGAAATGCGAGTTTCCCGTCTTTTTCTACCTCGTGAGTGAATTTGATATCCTTGTGAGTTCTGTTGATCTCATCTAAAATTTGTGGAAGGGCTTCCCGTTTAACTATGCTGAAGATATCGTCAACAAACCTCCACCAACGGTTTGGTAATAGTCCTTTCTCCTTCAGGATTGTCTCCAAGTTGGCCATGAAAAGTTCACACAAGAAGGGGGATAGGGGGTTTCCTATTGGGGCTCCTTTCGTCTGCTTGTAGAAGTTACCTCGGAAAGAGAAGTAGTTCTCTTCCATACAGTGTGCCTCAACTGTGCCGATAGTGCCATGCTCGGTACCATGGCATCGTGATGACTTTGTTTGTGAATAATTGAATTTTTGGCAACCCGGTATTTTGACAGCTCGATTGTTTTTGTTTTAAATCAAATTCACAGCCAGAACCGAAAACCGGTGGGGAACATTGTTGGAGACCGACTATAGAGGATGATGAATATGACTTCTGTAGTTTGTTTTGTGTGAGTTGCAGCATTATTTGAATTAAGGGTACTAATGGGGTCTGATTAAGTCCTCTTGAGCTCACTCTAGAACCTACATTTCGTATTTAGATCTATAAGTGAACTGCTGGTCTGAGTTCCTCTAGTATATTCAACTAAAGGATGTTCCTGAATATACATTTAAACAGCACGTATTGTTGTGAACAACTTCAAAGACAGTTGTCCCATTTTATTTGCAACAATTTCATGCCTACGAGATTGTGCCGAAGGTCTGCCGAAAAATGTGCCCAAGCAATGCCGAATCTAATTTCGGCATAATGTTCTGAGTGACTTACCCCTTAGAACAGCGCTATGTTACTACTTGTGTATTCCCCAGGACCATATAAGATAGAGCTCTTCTCTTCGTGGAAGTACAAGAGTAGGAATAAAAGATAGCACTAAACCACAAAAGCTAGAGGCGCGATCTAATTTTGGAGTGTATCCAATAATCGAAACATTTTATTCAAAACACCCTGATGATAATCTGGTAGTATATCTCAAATCCACAGTCGATCTATCCAACACTTCGTGGAACCCATTCTCCAAATACCCTACCTACTACAGCTTTTCCCCTGTGTCCGCAAACTCGCCTTTTGATGATTCAAGACGCTCTGAATCTTACATTAGATGCTCGCTAATCTTCCGGACCTTATGCTTAATCTGTCGATGGTCTGATCTGCTTGCACCTGCCTTCGTTAGCTCTACAAAAAGAAGTACATGGTGTGCATGAAATATTTCGTGTACACTGCGAAGGTCTGGTTACTCATCTCGCTAATGCGGAACTGCTTCAGTGACTCGCTCCTTTGGTCCGCTCCAACACGCAATCAAATCAACAATCAATACGAAACTAACGATTTTAAATTGGCTCACTACTTGACTAGCCTATTGGTCCCAAGCAAACGATTAACGTACCCCATTCTAGTCGAAATTCTAGTACTACGCAATGTTTGTTTTGATACGCTATGAAAGTTTGACAGATAACATGAGGGGTTATTAGTTTTTCCTATGTTTCGAGGGGTGAATCGATTAGCATGGGACCGAAGAAAGTACCAGAGCTGAGCCAAAAAGTTGAGCACGTTTCTTCGGGACCATCTGGTCTTAGAGTTACCTCTATGCTAGCCTCTATGCTTATACCCCGTACAAACTGTGTCTTATATCATATAATTTAGGCTGTCTTGCAATGAGCACTCATACATCTAGTTTTCACTGGAAATCCTATTTATGAGTGCTCATTGCAAGCCAGCCTATATAACATGATATAAGCCATAGTCTGTCCGGGGTATTAGGCGTTGTCCTAATTAAGATTTTGAATATGGGGGAGCTAAGTAGTTTAGAAAGTTTGCAGAGAAAGATCGTGGTATCCTAAAATCTAAGTTTCGGACTCTTCTTTCCTTTATTTAACGTCGGTCTCTGTTCCGCAATCTAGTGCCAATCACCGACGGACATTGATTGCCATCCATTGACGACAACCGAATGTGCAGGAAGGCAGCTTCTACACCTGCGTAGGATATCGCACCCATTCAACAACACACATGAACCGGGACCAACGGCTTTACTTCCCTTCCGAAGGAAGACGTGACCAGAGATTTTTATGCCTCAGAAAAATCCCATAGACCTCGGCTGGGATTGAACCCGGACCCATTGGGGTGAGAAAGCAGTCACGCTTACCACCATATGCCAAGGTTTTATACAACTGTCATCGAAGGAAAGATGGACATTTCTCACATTGAAAACAAGCCTTATTCGCATTTTTCGAATATTTATTGTTCTTGTTAAATTGTTTTATGGGATTCATATGCCGGGTGTGTTCGAGTGTTTACCATTTTGTTTTGGGTTTTTGTGTTGACGGATTTTCAATTAACTTTCCACAACATTTGTATTTAAACGTTTGGATGTGTATGACGGGGTGACAACGGTAGAATTTTCGTGGTTGATTTTTTGTTTGTTTGCTTCAATTTGTAACTTTTGTTTCTCTTTGCAGTGTAAGAACTTTTGATGTGATCCATGATTTTTGTGTTATATATATATATATTTTTTATTGTGTTTGCAATTACGAATACAATTATTTTCCCACCTTTTTTTCTTTTATGTTTTATTATTTTACTGCTTTCAATAATCAAAGTTACTACGTTTATCGAACGGGACTAGATTATTTTTATTTTCTTATTTTTTTTTCTTTTGTATTCTTTCCGCGTGTTTCGTTCGTTCCTGGGACCTACACCTCTTTGCCCACAATTCACATTTTGACGCTAGCCTACACCTTACTAAGTTGTTTACAGAAGTTACGAATATGCTTACCAGAATTGTTCGCTCTATTTCAAATCCACTTTTTTTCCGTTTGTCTTCAATTACCAATAAAAAACAATATCCCAGGAATACCTACTCGAATTTTTTTTTTTGAACATAACCACAAAGGTACTCCATCCGTTCCAAATACCTACACACGACGATGTATCTATCTTTATCTGGTTGATTTGCTCTTCTTCTCAAAATCCTTGGCTATCAAGCTTCTCGCGTTTCGTCTTACTCGTGTCGTATTAATAGGTTGGTTGGTAGTTAATCAGTAGTTCTTCCCTTATCCTTTCATATATGCGGCTTACACAATAGAGAATGATATACAGAGTTGCTTTTTTTTTGTTTTGCTTTGTTTGTAGTAATTGGTAAACTTTTTTTTTTCTCGTTTTAAAGGGGTTAATATGATACAAAAATAAATCCACCATCATCGCTTTCGAATTTGTAGTTCCATATTTTTTTCACGCACACATGGGGGTGACAATTGGTGCTTTCGGGCGTTTTCTAGTTTTTTTGTTGTTGTTGTTGTTAAATTAAGTTAATATATTATTGTTTTGTTTTGGGTTTTTTAGATGTTTTTGTTGTTTTAAATGTACTCACAAGTAGATTATTTCTTTGCTTAGTTTATTACAATAACCATCAAACAGCGGAATTACATTAGCTACTATAGTAGTTATTAGATTTGTTTTTTTTGTCATTCGAATTTTCGGGGAGTGTGGGGTGAACTGGACAATGGGAACATCGATCCTAACTATTTACACGCACAATTCCTATTTTATCTTTTTTTTTCAGTTTCGGGAGAGAGGATGCCTACAACAAGAAGTGGTGGAAATTTAAATTTTGCCTGCTTTCTTATGCTGTAATTATAATTGCTATTGCTTATTAAGGGGTTGGTTGGTTGGTTGGATGAGACGCCTATTCAACTTGCTGTCTGTTGTTCATCGGGCGAAGGAAAGTGGCTGCTTAAATATGACTATAAATGTAAAGAATCACCTTCGCGTTCTAATCTTTGTGGTTTGCGCGAACAAGAAAAGAAAACATCTACTATTTCTAGGAAACGAATTTGGTTTGTGTTTCTTGCGTTTGATGCAGTATATTTACACGGTTTTTGCAGATTTCTACTACTATGAAGCATGTATAGAACCAGAAGAAAGCTTAGACTTCTGTTGAGCGTCCAACCACGCCACCGTTGGCCGCGGTCAACGTGGCACCGTCTTCCGAGCGGGAGAGTTTCCGCTCTCGTCGCGTCACCGGAAGTTGTTGCTGTGGCTGATTTGGCTGCGTCGCCACTAGCTGCTGCGGTGGTTGTCCGTTGATTGGCTGCGTTGCCACGGCGACTGCTGCCACTGCTGCTGTTGGTAGCGGTTGCTGTTGCAGAATTTGCTGATGATAGATGGCACCCATCAGGGCAGTGGCATGTTGGCCGGCATGCATTATGATCTGACCGGATGTGTTGCTATGAGGCAGCATTCTCACCTTAATGTCACTACGTGAACCCGTGCTTGCGGAGGTGGATTGAAATGAGATCGACATTCCACTATCAAGCGAGCCAACACTACCACGCCGTTGAGGCTTCTCATTTCCAACTACTCAAATCGAACACAAGTTCATTGTGAAACGATACCAAACGGCGTGCACGCGTGGAGTGGGTGTGGTTGATGGATGATGGTTAAGTCGCACGATGCCAGAAGTTGTCGGTTAGAATTGGTTTCGGTGGGTGCAAGATGATGATTTTGTTTTTGATGAGGAACGTGACGAGTTGTACAGCATTTTTCGCACATTCGCATTGTGTGTATGTGAAATGAGACAAAACAGAAAGAATAGAAACGAAAATCAGTGAGTATAACATTCGCATTTATTCAAACAACTAATCATGGTTTCGAATCAAGCACGAAAAACTAGACCCAACGGAAGGCTGCGGTACTTTATCACACGATGCTTGAGGCTCTTCCATCGGATCCCTAAGGGACAAGCTACTATAAAATATTGAATTACAAAAGAAAAATACGATAACATAACAACAAAGCTTGCTTGCTCCTTCTTTTTTTTTCGAACCGAAAAGGAAACCAAAATAAGCTCTTTCCCTCCAAACAAATTGGAAAACCACTAGAATGACTTACATTGTTCGTGCATATCTAAGAGTGAATTGCTAAGAGCGCTTCGCTTCAACTGTGCTTCGCTATGTGTGTGTGCAATTCCGCATTCGCTAGGCGAGACACCGCCGCCGATCGGGCCACTACCTTGATGAAGATGATGGTGGTGATACTGGCCAGCGCAGACCTCCACGTCGGCAACGCCCGAGTCGCGGTTCTCGCTGTTGGCACCCCGCTGGCCGCGGGCCGACTTTTGCCGCTCCAGTTCGGCCTCGATGCGGAGCGATTCCATTTCGTCCATCTCGCTGATGGATTCCCGGAGGTCCTCGGCGAACTTGCACCGGTCGTGCTCGTTGCGGGCGTTGAACGTGACCAGCACCTTGCCGTCGACCTTCTGCGACAGGCGGATACAGTACGGGTAGTCTGGAATTAGGAGGGGGGCAAGGAAAGGTAATTGTTAGTTGGATTATTCCAAAAATATATTCCGAACTCAACAAGTGGTCGAGTAAACTAGGTGGTAGGTAACGGAGAGTGGTGGAGAAACCACCGACAAACTGACATGACACTCAATTCTGACTTATGCCCGAAAATCGTAAACGGCCGATTTAAATGTGCAGTGATCCGAACTGTTGATTTATTGATCTAGATAAAAATAATTTGTCCATAATAGATCAGACACGAACCAATTCATAACTTTTGCATGCGGGTTCATGGCTTAGCTAAATATTTTCCGCGAACACTGAGCCAGATGTCAGTAGTGTGCTTTGGTCAAAATTTTTATTGTTTTTGCTATGGTCATTCATGTCGGTTTGTCGGTGGAGAAACTACTCTACAGAGTGGTTCCCGCTGAGAACCAGAACTTCTCGGAGTTTCAAATGTTTCTGGAGCTCAACATGTTCCCTGAATTCGGAGAATTCTTCCGGTTCTCAATGATGCAACCGTAGACATTTGAATGTTTTTGGAGTACCGATATTTTTTAAAACGTTCAAGATTTCTAGGGTTGCATGCTTTAGTTCTTGCAGTTGTTAATTTTCCTGATGGAGTTCTACAGTTCTTATGATCACATAGTACCAGCATTTCTCTAAAGTGCTCATGAGTTCTAAAAAGTTCCTATAGATACTACTTTGGGTGCCTCCCTTAGCTTAGTCGGTAAAGCCGCAGCTACAAAGCAAGACCATGCTGGAGGAAGCTGGATTCAATTCCCGGTTCGGTCTAGGAATTTTTCGGGTTGGAACATTTCTCGACTTCCCTGGGCATAGAAGTATGATTGGACTTGCCTCACAATTAAACCAATTAATAATTGTGGAAGTGCATCTAGGACACTAAGTTGAGAGCACGCAAAAACCCGAGCAAAGTCCAGCATCAAAATGACAGCAAATTGAAATCAAGTTTTGATATCAACATCAAACTGAAATCCTAATTTGATTTCAGTTTATGCAATTGATAAATTTCGTTTTCATTTTGCTGTACATTTGCTCTACAAAAATATGTTGTTGTGGGTTTGTTTTCATTGCCTTAGCATAACATCAAATGTATTACTTGTTTTGTTATCAACAGGAAAAATTGATATCAAATTGAGTTTTCAGTTTGCTCTCACTGATAGCAGAAATAGTTTTCAATGTGATGTCACAGGAACATTTTTTTGCTCTCAATTTTGATATTTTAACCGTTAAAACGACCAAAACGACAGCAACCTGAGTAATCATTATCAGCGAAATCACAACATCAAATTTAGATTTCCATTTGATCTCAGACTTTGCTCGGGAAGCTAATATGCGATATGCAATATTAAGCTTGAAATGCGAAGAAGAAGAAGAAAGATACTAAAGTTTTTCAGAGTACCAAAAGAGCTTTCAAAAATCCGTTGGGGTATTGCACTTTGGTAAAAAATACTTGAGATCTGAGAGATACTAGAAGTTTTGAAAATGCACAGGACAGAGTACCAAAATTGACTTTTCTCAGGATTTCTAAGGGTTGGTTGACTTCCAGAAGTTCTCTGAGTACTGAGATTTCTTGCAGTTCTTTATTCAAATTTGTTTGACTGGAGATTTTCCAGTTTGTGTGTTGGACATTTTCCGGAGTTCTATAGTTTTTTTTGCTTGAGTTCCGGAATATTTAGAGTTTCGGAATCGGTTGAAATTCCTTAAAGTTCAAACGTAAATCGTAGAATTCAGAGCGTTCTGAAAATCTCCGGAATTCTGACAACTCTCGCAGATCCCAAAGAATCGATAAAAGTTTGAAAGCCAACAGGAGAACTAAGAAAAATCTTGTTACAGCAATGTGGGTTCACCCGGTTCCCTATTGTATACACACACACAAAAAAACCCCTATCAAAACCCCGATACTCACTCGGCACATCCAGCAGCGTGACCACCATTCCGCTCAGCGGATAGCTATTGCGGAACGTGTACGTGACCGAGCTCTTCTTCTTGCTGAAGATCTTGGTGATCACGAGCAGATCGTTGAACAGGAACACCTCCCGCTGGTGCACTCCGGGCCGTTCCTTCTTGTTGATGTCCGGAATTTCGTACAGCCGACAGTAGCACACCAAACGGCGGTGCGGCAGGGCCAGGTTCGGTTTCTTTCCGACGATGGTCGCCTGCACCTTCATCACCTGCGTCACGTGGTCCGAGCCGGGTTTGAACTCGTTCGCCTTGACCCGCTCGTAGATCCCGGTCAGCATGTCCCGATCGATGTCGTGACAGTCGTCGATTCCGCGCAGGTTCTTGATGTAATCGTCACAGCGCATGCGCCGTTCCGGTTTCAGATTCGGGGTGTGCAGATCTGTATTGAGCATGATGATGGCGAATGCCAGCACAAAGACGGTATCGTTCGAGCGAAGGCGCGCCACGATGTCCGTGTTACACTGGCAGTACCGCGCCGAGAAGACCTCCATGAGCCGTTCGATCTTCTGCGCTTCACCTGGCATTCGGAAGTAGCCTTGGAACTTGCGCAGCGCTACGTCGACCTGCATTCCAGAGAGATCCAGCTCGCCGGCAAAGCAGTCCAGTACGGCCATGTTGAATTGGTTCTGCAGGTTTCCGAGGTACTCGCCAATCATCTGCCGGGAGAGACCCTTGCGCGAGATGAGAAACCGAGCTACACCCTGCGGGGTGTTCTCCAGGAAGCCCTTCCGAATCAGATAGGTTATACCTGTTGAGGAAAGCAAGTGATGGTTTGTAAAATTTTCATGTGACTTACACTAATTATGACGATCTTACCTCGTTCGGGCTTCTTGTTGAACAGATTCAGCCCCACCCGGTACTGTCGCTTCCGGATCGTTTCCGAAACCTTGTAGCTGGTGGGTGTGTGCACTATCTGGTCGTGCTGCTCCATCGAATACTGTGCGGCGCTGGTATGTGAGCTGAGACATTCGTTTTCTATGCTGCTGATGGTGACGTTGGCACTGCTGCCACTCTGCACTCCGGTCCCCGTCGTTGCACTGATCATCAGGTCCGGACTTTGAGCGGTCATAACGATTCCGGTAGCGCTTCCACTACTGCTACCCGGCCCCTTTCGCTTCCACTGGGGTGAGCTGGATCGATCCGATCCCAGCTCCCCGACGCCTTGTATTCGTTCGGCCGAAGCCGAAGAATCGCTGCCGGATGACTGAACCGAACTGAGCGATCCGTTTTCGGCCGTTTTGCAGAGACCGTTGGGCCTTAGTGATCGGTTCGGTGTGTGCTGGGAGGTGATACTAGACGTTCTCTTTGGTACTTCCGGTGGCACTTTGCGACTGGCACTGCAGCTGCTGGCGGCCGATCCGGAACTGCCACCGGAACTTCCGATGCCAATTCCACGCGGGCGCATGTAGATCTGTGCGGCCGTATAATGTGGGGTGTAGGGGCTTTGGTGTGCACTGCCGGCAGTGGCAACAATGGCCGTTCCGGAACCACTGTTCCAGGACAGATTCATAGACGAAATGGTCGAGTCCAGCACGGAACTGCCACCGCTGATGTTCAGATCCTGGGATCCGTATTGGCTTTGGTACTGTTGCAGCTGGTGGGGCGAGGACGAAGGGACTCCTCCGCTACTGTAGTAATGCTGCTGCTGTTGGTGCAGGATATTTACGTGCGGGTGCGAGTACTGCTGCTGCTGTTGTTGTTGTTGCTGTGGCGATCCGGTCGCAACCGTTGTGGACATTTGGCTCTGGGACCAGGAACTGTTGGCAGGTGGGGCAGGCGAAGCGGTTCCCGATTGGCTGCGGGGAATCGGACTGCTATCGAGACGACGCTCGCGGAGGGACATCGATCGGACCGGCGTAACCCGGTGGTGTAGCGTTCCCGGCGGGGTGGCGGAGATTCTGGAGAGGGGGGAAAAAGAGGGGTTAGTAAATTTTGAAAGAAATTTATGAGATATTTTCGTTAAATCCTGTAAAATCTACCTAAGCAAAACAAACCATACCGGGATTGTGCGAATTGTGACGGAATTTATGGGTGACCTTGTTTAGATTTGTTTATATGCAAACGTCAAATTAGGGCATTTCCACCGTCAAAAATAGTAAGCCGCCTGCCTCGCCGTTGCCGTTTTGATGGGCGGAGAAAACAAAATACAATTCAGCAGCAGGGTTTTGTAGGTAAACAATCTTGCAACCCTTGCACATGACTTTTCTTTTCGATTCGATGTGCGTGCAAAATAAAAATTGAGTGCATCGCAATATTTTGCACAGTTCTTGGTGCCATTAATTAACACACAAAGATAAATAAATCCAGGCTATGGAAAATTGAATTGGAATTGTGAGAAGAATTGCAGGTAAGTTTTAAGGAAAGGGACAGCTTAAATGAGTTTTGGGCGTAGATATCAAAATCATTTTTGATACCTACACGGAAAACAATTTAATTCGCAAGTAAATTAAACGTGTTCGCAAGAATTGCAACTTTTGGGTGTGTTGTACAAGTTATCCAGAATTGATTAGATAAGGAAGTGTACCGAATATATTCTTTTGCTTTCATTACTCGCTTACCCAAGCGAGCGTGTCCCTGTATATAAATTTTTTCCATCGATATTTTTCCCTGATGCACGTAAGCTCCAACCTGGATTAACTTTTAATACTTGCGTTCAGTTGGAATTATTCATTCCTATATCGAAGCCAAAATAGCCCGTTAGACACGATCATGATAAGGATTTGATTCGATGATATTACTGGTTTAAATCTAATGTTCAATCAATCCGTGCATGCAATTAATTTCCAAATATATCAAAGAACAAAACCAAACTGATGGATACTCACGTGGCACAAACGCGCTGTCCACCGACGAGGCTACCATCCTCGTACTGCTGCCCTTCCTCCGCTAGGTGGCTCTGGTGAAGCTGCTGCTGTTGCTGCATCATTTCCAGTTCCGCCTGCTGCTGCTGGTGTTGAACCCTTCGGCTCATGCGCTTCTCCGCCTTGGCCATTGCTGTAATCGAGGCAAACTTCTTCACCATCGTGTAGTGCCGGAACGCCCGCTGAATGGTGAGGGCTGCGGTGCGCGCCTTAACTCCACCGTACTTGCGCTCCAACAGTTCGATCTGCTTGTCCAACAGATCCTGCGACAACTCATACCTGGATGGATACAATGACAAGAATGGAAACGATTTTAGTATGACTTGTTTGTTTGAGTAGTACCCATACGATGTGTTTTCGTTTTGAGTTGAAGGCCGACTTAGGCGAATGCATACATCAACAACGTCCCAGTCTCAATTTTAATTAACGCAGTCACAGAGGAGACTTCACACTAAGCTGGGAATTCCTGTGATTTTACTACTAATACACCGGTACGGACGAACGACGGGTTGTAGGGAAAAGTTCATTCTTCTATCACAGACATACAGACGTAGCGCTTTGAACAATCTGTCCTTCATAATATCGGCATGGAAGGTACTAACGACGAGACTTACGACTCAATACAAGATTATCGATAATTAATTGGCTCATTACTTGACTAGCCCATTGGTCACAAGTACATCTATAAGCGTACCCATTGTTGTACTAAAGGGTGTTACGATCAAAATTTGGTCGACTTAAACTTGACGCATTTAATTTAATCGAACATTAACAAAAAAACTGAACACCCCTCATTTTGTAGGTGTGTGCGAGTGGTGCAAGCAGAATGATGCCTTTATTTTGATTTTGACATTTCAAGCTGAACATTGCATTAGGTCCTAAGTAACATTAACAGATTCCCTTCGATCGGAGGGAAATCGGACGCCGGAAGCCGCAGCGATGACGAAAAGAGTGATCAGCGGTTTCAAGCGGAACCACAACCTCTTAGTCTTAGATGTTGCAAACAAGCTACAAGTCCATCGAACTAAAAACGAGCCGGGCTGTCGACTTATAAGAAGGTAGTGACTCCTAATCGCGACGATAAACAAACCACAAGACATGCAGCTGTACACAGTAAAAAGTTACCACATCTAATCCAAATGCTCTTGCACTTGACTCAGTCTGTTATGCGGCACTACGAATCGAAGTGATTTATTATTGATTTTCAAGTTATTTGCGTTTTGAAACAAAGTTATTTGACATTGTAAAATATACCGTATAAAACCTTTAAATCAAAATGACTATCATTTGAATCGGCTTTTGGAAGCAAATGTCAAAAACGCACATGACAAACATTACTCGTGAAGATGGCAACTCTAATAAAAATAACCATAAAAGAGAGCTTAACGATGTGTTCAGGGTATAATCCAAACCATTTGTGGGATAGTTTACCCATCTGGGATACAGTTCGTTTATGGTATTTGTTTATTAGGGAAGTCAACAACAAATGAAGTCAAGTGAGAGAAGCGATAATTCTCCCTCTCCGCCCGAAATAATTTGCGTTCTAGAGCGTGAGTAATACGAAATTGTTGCTATTTTCAATAAAAGTGTTTTATCCAGAAAAGTTCGATTACAAAACATTGTCACACTTATCGAATTTATTGCTCAGTGTCTTGTCTTGCTTCTACTAAGGCTGTGAACCATTTGCCGAGTTAAATTTAACTCGTGGTTAAAAGTGACATTTCGAAAGTTATTTTCTTAAAGTGATAGATTGTTAATATCAGTATGGTTGACATTTCGAGTTCAAAGCACTGTCAGAGCTGGTAAATATCACAGCCGTCATTTCTAACTAATTTAGATGAATTAAAGCAAGCAACCGTATGTAATCGATAGAGTGAATATATTATTAAGATTTCCTCGGAACTAGCAACATTAATAGCAATAAATGAGCTAGTAATTACGATGAACACAACACTGTCACGTTCTGTCATGACAAAAAATTCGATGAGATTTTGAAGAAAATTTCCATCATCATGTTCTCATCCGATGATAGTGACAGAAGTATCTCTGTAAATATCGCGTGAGATCTTCCATTGAAAATGACATTTGCCAGCCCTGAGCACTGCACATCAACAACGATGTGCAGTACAATCTAAAATGAAGTGATTTGCTGTTGATTTAATCGTTCTTCGATATGATCTCTTCTTAGGGATTTGCACATCGAATTGCAATGTTTGGCAAGTAGTGCAAATTGAACAGTAAATCACTTTACATGAACGTGATGTTTTTTTACCGTGTACCCGATGATACTGACGAAGTTCGATCAAAGATGAATACTAAGATGAAACTGTCGGAAGAAAAACTTTCTATTTTAGTGTCTTCTTTCACGGTCCCTTTCATCCAATGAGAACCCCCCGTATTCAAGGTAATTTTGTGGTTTTGCTGCCCCCTCGGAAGAGATGAAATTTTGCGCTCATTTTTATCAAAACAAACACACCTAAATCAGAGATGTCCCATTTTTTAATTACTCGATTAACAACTAATCGATTATTTTTTGTTCGCTGTGCTGCCATTTTTCCACTAATGAGAGTGCAGCACATGTTTGAAACGATCGGTGATGATCCTCTGGAGATGTTAATCCTTATATCGGCACGATATAACCGATTATAAATAGTTTACTTTTCGGTTCATTAATCGATTAAACGATTATTCGAATGAAAATCGGACATCACTAGATGAATGTGAAACGTCATTTCAAATATAAGGCCGTTCATATACACTCAAAAATATTACTAAACAAAGATAGATTAAAATTTAATCCATTTTCGGTTACGTAATGTTCATACATTGATCTGCATAAATTTCACATAAAAATAATACTAAGTTCGAGTAACGGAGCGAAATTCGTTCAGTGTACATAAACAAATAATGTTAAATTTTAAATTACTTCAGTTTTGAACGTCATATCTTCTATCATTTTTCCTCTTCGATCTGTTCGTTTTCGGTCGCCTGGCTGATAGCTTGTTTGGTGAATTTATTGAAAACTGTCATGGAAAAATACTTTTAGAAAGTATTATTTGGAAGAACCATAGGTAGTTTGATAAACATATTTTGAAAACCAAAGAGATGACATCAAAATTTTATTTTCAATTATGCTGCAATGTTGTTCGTTTCTGTACCGTGCCGTGATGTCGTTGTCAATACTACACCTAATGACAACTTCCAAAGCGATGATAATGGTGATAAAAGGGTGATAAACAGCAGACACGACAGCTCTATTGCTGTAACGTCAGCTTGGAGATTTCACCACCGATTCGCACGATTGTGCAGCATAGGTCGCAGCTTAAACAAAGGCCGAACAATCATCCATGTCAAATCGGCACGCAGTAAGGATGCACTACATGCTGGATTAGAACATTCTTATTATTCAAATCAATTTATTCTTTTACAGAACAAGCCGAATATTACTGTTGTCCATGGAGGAGATTCCATCCCGTGTGTCTATGTAAGAATAAACGGGATCCTCAGAACCAGAACCAGAACTGGTATCAGACTCGGTGTATTTTACTACTTCTGAACCAGTTGCACGACCGAACTAAAGCTACAGTGCCACGTCTAACTCTTCGTCTAGACTTCGAGGGACATCCGGTGTAGCGTGGCATTTCAATAATAGAAACCGGAAACCTGGTTCACGAGGCTTCAGTACGTGTTTAAAGTCGGAAATTGGGGAGAGCTTTGAAGACTTGGATGAATCAGTGTCACGTGAATCTCTTCCGGTCGACATCTAGGAGCTACTTGTCCTGCATGACATTCCAATCGTGCATATTTCCAATCCCATGTTAGTTAGATTAATGATGAGTGGTTATATTGTTATTCTAACCATGTAGTCATATTGTTAATGCTATCAATCATTTAATTTTGTCTAAAAATAAATTTATCATAACAAAACAAAATTTCATTCAAGAGAAATATACTAAATAGAAACGAGAAAAAAAAAACGCACTACCCTGAATAAACCGCATACATACATTGCAAGTATATTCACATTTTATACTAAGGCACGCATAAACTATTTGTATACTAAGTTCGTATTCTCTCTCTTTATACCCACCCTAATAAAAAATAACCATAAACGAACGATAACCCAAATCATTGAACTATTCCACAAATGGTTTGGATGATACCCAGAACACGTCGTTAAGCAAATTAACCATACAATTTTTATTAGGGCAGCTATGCGTCGGACGGGAGAGTTGAGATTTAGCGTAACTTTTAATCTATTTAGATTTGAATATTTTTTTAGTGTATAATGATACAATTTGAAAGAGACCGTTGCTAATCACAAATTACGTCCCCACGGTAACTGAAATAAACACGAGTGTTCACCGGTTGATCTAATGCTTACTTGGCACGATATAACCGACTAAAAATAATTGATTTTTCGATTCCTTAATCGATTTAACGATTATTCGAATAAAAATCGGACACCACTAGATGAATGTGAAATACCATTTTGACATCCACTCTGGATCAACAATAGAAAAGGGCCCATCACCGTGTAGGTAGAAGTTCCTTCCTCCTATCCGATGATGGTGTTAGTTTGCGTGGGTGGCCTTCGCTTTGTGAGTAAAGGGCTTTGCAACGGTTTGTTTACAAATGCTGATGAGCCCTTTTCTATTGTTGATCCAGCACTATCCGATGTAAAATATAAGAGCCGTTCATAAATAATGCTACAATTTGGAAGGGACCGGGGCTAATCACAAATGATGTACAGGCAGATTGAGGTTAAGGAAACGCCACTGCTGATAGTATTCAAATGGAACGTTCAAATGCGATCCGTCACGTCTGTTTGTCTTTGCCTCTATGGCTACGGTTCTGTCTGCCTGAGAGTAGGCAGCCAGTGTAGTAAACAGATAGCTAAATTTAGTTCTAGTCGACGACGAACTCGTCGAGACGGGGGGGAAACCAGAGTAAGATTGTCAACTTCAATGTAGGTTACTACAATATCGAATAAAACAGCGAAAAGGATGGGAAAAGTGCACCCGATGCGCCAACACAACGCTTCCGCCTGTCCGCATCGTGATTTGTTTTGATTTTCCGGCTTTCCACGCTCACGCTGCACTATATCTGGAGTTTGTCCGGTCTCAGTCCCGTCGGTGCGGGAGGAACGGCAGAAATGAGGGAGTGAGTTGGAAAATGTTTGGTTAATTAATGCCGCCTCTCTTGCAGGTTTGAGTTTTTCACTAAGTGGCAGAGTTAGAATGCGCACCAGTGCCGGTGATTTGAAGTGCCATTTGGTGGGATCAAATAAGGATTAATGGAGGAAGTGATTAAATGTTATACACCTGGCTTTGGCTATTCGTCTATTGAGCGTTGAGTTTGGAGAAAACTACCTTCAGGAAAAGCCTTGACTGCTCAATGAAGAACAATCATCGTCAATTAGGGAGCGCGTTGGCCGTGAAACAGGGAAACCACAATAAGAAACATAAAATTCAAAGGGAAGTAACAAATGTTCTGGTCTAGTGATGTTTCATAATGTCGCCAAACCTGATGCCCCTTGAGCGTCTACTCACTGTGCGTGTGTCTTCAAAAAAAAAAAGCGATCAAGAAGTGAATCACCACTCATAGAATTACGATTCGTTGACCTTACGAGCGCTCTCTAAATTAATAGTGAGCTCACATGTGCTGTATAGGTGTATGAACGTATACCTTTCGACTCGAGGCAATGGAATTAATAAGAGTGTACTGCGACTGTAGAGAAACCTTAAAACCGTCGAAGCTGGGTACTAAATTTAGAAACTTTACCATTAGTCCCTCTCGAGAGGATGGCCCCATGGCCCCGTGTCAAAATTGAATGGTTTTGAGAAGTTTGAAAATGTCCAACCCAAGAACAGGGCCGTAAATGTGTCACAACAAGCGGTGTAGAACGTGATTAATTACCATACGAATTTGATCTGGAGCTTGCAGATGCAATAGGCTGAATTTCGGCGGTTCAGATGAGAACCGTTAATCAGCAGACTAGATGCTTTGGTGGGATTCTCGCTGGAACTGAGCAGTTGCTCAAAGTTACCGGATTTGGCTCGACGTTTCCGGCGTCGCCGCCGCAACCGATGTACAACGAGATCCTGTGAGTTAATTTTGTGAGTATTGTCGATTGCATTGTTGTTGTTCAGTGCGGCGACGGGTATGATCTCCATCGATGGTTTAACGTCATAGCACTGACAACAGCACAAGCACACACAATCACACTGGAATTCCGGTCGAGTATTGTCACCGCCATTGTTGGTGGTCCCGTCGCTGACACTGCCACCGTACGCATCACTAACGGTCGCGGCGGTATTGTTGCTATTGTACATTTTTGGCCACCGTTGTGGGATTTGTTTGGAATTCGCACTTTCGTTTCGCTACTGGCACTGAATAATAATAATACCGCGCCGTTTGTGGCTTGTCATTCAACATTGTTCCGAAACGGTGACGCGGGATCGAAATCACTGGTTTCTGGTTCCACTACCACTTCCGACGACGACCGAGCGCGCATTAATTCAAGTTTTGTCAACATATAGGGCGCGTCTCGCTGCCATGGCTGCAGGCGCCCTCGTTCTTCTTCACTTTCTATCGCAGAATGATACACTGATGTAGAGTTCACTTTGAATGCTTGTTTGTTAACATTCCTCTGAATATTGTACTTGGTGTATCAAGCAGCAGAGGTCGCTTCATGGAAATTGATTCCTACCGAGGGAGAGCATATTTTCGATGTTCACGATTGTTACGCGTCACTGGGAATAAGCTCACGCGTCCTCACTTACGACCAGCCGTAGAGCTGGATGGGAAGTGGTCTATATTCTAGAAGAGGGGAAGAGACTAGGAATTGTAAGATTTCCTACTTCCGAGTATTGAAGGAAGGTGGGTAATCCGAAACGATTTCCAATAGTCACATCTGTGAGCCAAAAGAAAAAAAAAAACAAACTATGGGTAGGATGTCGTACAACCGGATCGACTGTGGTACGTGACCTAAACAACAGGTCGAACCAGACTAGTGCTGGATGGTGCGGAAAATCGCGTCGATTCGATGTTATCATGATGCGATAAAAATGAAGAATTTCGCCAGCTAAGATTAGAAGGTAAATATAGGTAACCTGTCATGGTACAAAGCGATAAAGGCCATACTGTCATGTAGACAAGAAATCCACTGAGCGGTAATTTTCTAGAGACCAATGGAAATTCATTTAAGGCAGGCTGATTATAAGTCTGGGCGTCAACATTTGCGTCACATGCACAACCAACAGCCAATTTTGTTTTGTTGCACAGGTCTCATATCAGAGAAGCGGTACAATTTTTTTGCATTTACAGCAAAATATCGATTGACGAGAGCACGCGAGATAAGATAACGGTGCCACATATCACACACAGTTTCAATCCGGGCTTCACTGCAGTATAGGGACAGGCCGAAACCCATTCCCGTTCAGCAGATATGCTTCCCAAGAATGTAATCTCAGCCAATGATCGCCGCTTAATCACTCCCAACAAGCTCTAATTGGAGCGTGTAGCGATAGAATCCACACCCGTCGGTTGATGAAGGAAACCCGCTTAAATCAGTTTCGCGCGCTCTCGTTCATATTAATTTGACTCTAATTATGTCAATTTCAATTCAGCTCAGGCTGTTTTGCCGCTAGCGAGTAGGCAGGCGTCAAAAAGGATTGCATATCATCAAATTTTAATTAAAACATTCGTTCTTTATGCTCTGCCCAGACGAAGACTCCCGTGTTTACAGTCTTCTTCCCCGGCCACACATTATTAAGTGGTAAAGAAAAGGGCGTCCGACAGCATCCAAGTGTGCTCTTTTGCGTTTGCTCTTTCGTGAAAACTAATGATCTTTTAAACATTGCTCCAATTTTCTTCGTCTTTTTGCTGCTGCCACTGCCGCCGCATGTCTCATCTTCTTTGTTTACATCACATACAACAGTCGTCCCCGATGCTCCTCGTGTACTCTCATTTGTTTATTCACATGCGCGTCACTCTCCCCCTTCTCCCTCGTTTCTCCGGGATTTCTTCACACACAGGGCCGCCTCTTTTGCTCTGATAGGTTAGGTATGGTACCTTGCCCGATGTTTTGCTTGTTCTTACACACTTTTCACATCGGTTTTCGGTGAGGTGTTTTCATCTGTGGGATTTTTTCCCTGTCCCACTTGTCCGTTTCCTACTTCCGATACAGAATTGCTGCAAAGCCATTCGTTGGATGCTGAGACACACCGAACACAAACTGCTCAAACGACGTACAAATTACAATGCAATTAGTTCCGTTTCAAGAAGGAAGCAATACTTCCGGTTCTGCACCGGTCCGACCCTTTCTTTGTCTCGCCTGTGTGTGAGATCGTCCATTATTCATAGGTTCTCACCAGGACGCTATAAAATGGAAAATTACATCCGCAACTGGTGCGATCAAGGAAGACATAAATTCCTATCGAGCACACAAAGACTTGGCACTGCCGCTGGATTGATTGTTTCTCTCACGCACCGAATAACTCCGATCGATTCACTCACGAGCGTGCCAATCTGCCCTTTTCCTTCATTCAAACGGGCCTTGTTTTCTTCCAATTTACAACCGTTTGTGCAGTTTGTACCGTCGATATTGTATAATTAATACACGGCAATTATTAAATTCCTTTGATTCGATAAAAACTCATGTACCGGGCGCGCACACGTACACACAAATCGGAGGAACTTGGCGAAACAGTGGACGGAAGTGTGGTTTACCGGTGCTGGGTGCCCTGATTTAACGATCCGTGACTGATATCGACACGCTGCCCGAAGACGCGCGCGAACCGCTGCTCGCCGCGATGCGCAAAACCGTTGTGACAGACCGTACTGTTGCCGGAGCACTGCAAACTCGGTCGGTCGGTTGGCCGATTGGTGATCCCTCAATTCTATGCCCCGACGATGAGTCGTGTGCTCCTCTCCTATATCGCACGCTCGAGCGCTATCGCTCACCACATACCACATACACCCTCTAATAAGCGGCGTTCTCCGTGCAATCCGGACGGGAGTTGCAGTGTAGAATTAAGCTCATCATCACACAGGTATCGCCTCCATAGCCACTGGTGGTCAGCAGAAATGATGAAGCGATAGTGGCTCTGAAGTGCTGCGGCGAGAGAAACTCGCTCATATGGGCGGTTGATACGGTCGCCATAAGTTACCGTCACTGGGCAGTATTCGGCGGCTTGATTTTGGCAAACAGGCGGCTACTTAGCTCGGGATTTTTTACTATGTGGGGAAAGGGCGGTTAACCGGTTGGGGCAATCGGGCGAATATTCTGGCTCTGCACGCTATTTCAAAACAACACAAATTTTAGTAGGATATACCCATGAATGAAAAAAAAAAAAAAATAACGAAATTCGAGGTGGTTATACTTTCCGGATAAGTTTAGTCAATTGACATTGTTGACAGCGTGCAGCACTGCTTATAACTGCCAAGCTAGTTCAGACTACAGAGTTATAACATGCGCTATCTTGATGGTGGTTTCTGCGTTGCAATTATTTGACAACCGTTATAACATGTTATAACTCTCCAGTCTGTACAGCGTTTGAAACGCTGTCCAGACTGGAGAGTTATAACATGTTATAACGGTTGTCAAATAATTGCAACGCAGAAACCACCATCAAGATAGCGCTATAACATGTTATAACTCTGTAGTCTGAAGATGAACAAGGCATAAATGAAATGAAATCTCGATTACTTTTCGAGCGTATCAGCTTTTGTAAACAATGCATTTGATCGTCGATTTGGCGTAACTGGTAGCTCACCCGCGCATTAGAGTGATGCAAAATTTGAAATTTTCGCTCCACAATACTTAAACGATTCCAAATCGGATCCTGACTGAGATGGCACAGAAACTGAGATGGCACAAACCATTCGAAGTTTGTATGGGAATTGCTATGGTAAAACCAAGATTTTTGTTCATGTCTATCTAATAATTCACCATATCGGTCTGCTTCAAAATCTTTCAACTTGTAGGAATTTTTTCCAGCTACAACTTTGCTGATTACCACTTTTTGATTAAATGAAAGAATCAAAAGTTATCAATGGTTCAATGCGCTGATGTCTTATGATCATGCTCAATCAACTGCTCAGCAGGCAACATTGGTGTTTCTGGCGCGTTGAATAGGACACAAAAATCATGGTTACTATGTCACAAAATACAGTGTTGCCTACAGAGCAGCTGCTTGGCCATGTCATAAGTTTACCAATCTCTTAAATAATTAATAACTTTTTCCTGTCTCGTTTTAAATAGAAATGATCTTCAGCAAAGTTGTAGCTGAGAAAATTTTCTATAAGAATGGCTATCGAATTATTTTGCAGCTCAATATGGAAAAAGACTAGAAGGCAATGAACAAAAAATGAGATTTTCCATAGTAATTTACATGTAAACTTCAAATGGGTTGTGCGAAGTCTGTTTCTAACCAAATGAGTTGTAACTTTGGGAGGCCAATCAGGACCCGACTTGACACCATTTAAGCACTGTGGAGCGAAAAAGTCAAATTTTGCATTAGTCTACCCGCGCATGCTTACACTACCATCAGATATGGGACATTTTACCTACCTGGTAGTGGTGTTAGGATGCGTGGGCGAGCTATCAGTTACGCCAAACCGATGATCAAATGCATTGTTTACAAAAGCTGATACATTCCTTCGAAAAAGTAATCGAGAAATAAGGCTGTTCACGAGACAATTGCGATCAGCTGACTTTTTTGTTTACCAAGAACTTTTGACAGATCACAGTAGAACTGACAGTTTATTCTCATATGAATTTATGCTTTGTTTATGTTTACATTCAGGACCATTGACATCAGATCACTCACACACTCTAGATTTCTAACTGTCAGTTCCACTGAGAAACGTCTCTTGGATCAAGCGTGTGGTAGTCGTCTAGGGCACATGTCCCAAACCTGGGCCTAATAAACAGCCATCAATTATGATTTTAATCATATGTCAACAAATAATTAATCTGCAGACGACAATTCACCGTCAACATACGCATTTGATGATCTGAAAGTGAAGATAACAATAACAAACCAACAAAACTACGCACTTGAAAGTGGGATTACGCAAGTGTGTGTGTTTTAAACGTCAGAAAGGTCAATGGAAGAAGCATGTTGCCCTATTCGCAAATCAGAGTTAGCCCCCGATGAGAAATAGAGGCACTATGATAGTGATGATGATTCCAATTTTATTATACGAGTGCAACCTTAAAATCTAGATAGAGCTGGAATTAGGGCCTAACAGCTTTTGTAAACAATGACTTATCTTGATGATTTCTAGACACTTATCTTGATGATTTCTAGACATTTGGCTAGTTGGGTTGGTCTGCAAGGACGTGCCTTGAATTCCTAGAAATCATCGATAGAAGTCATTGTTTACAAAAGCTGTTACGCCCTATTTCCTGCTCTATCTAGAAATGCTTTTGAAGACCCATTCCATCGATGAATTTAACAACATCGCTTGATTGGATCCTTTGAATGCGACAAACTTATGGTCCTTCATGACTATTAAGATTTCTTTACAATACGGTTCACGGTAGTAGATTAGTACCATAGAGGTAACTCTAAGACTAGTAGGTCCCGAAGAAACGTGCTCAACTTTTCGGCTCAGCTCTGGTACTCTCTTCGGTGCCAAGCTAATCGATTTACCCCTCGAAACAGAGGAAAAACCAATAACCCCTCATTTTATCTGTCAATTTTTCATAGCGAATCAATACAAACATTGCGTAGTACTAGAATTTCGACTAGAATGGGGTACATTAATCGT